AAAAAAAAAAAAAAAGTGTTAAAATATCTGTACAAAAAATTATATGGGCACATTAGTCATGTTGGCTATCTTTACAGGACCTATACCATCCCTTTCCTCATAGGTCCTGAAGAACAAACGCAGAGACCAGCTGGTTTTCTCCTTAATCCTTCAGCTACTTCAATTACCAGCACTCATTAGACTGCACACAGACTGATCCACTCAACGGTCAGCAGGCATTTATCCATAACTGTCTCTTTGTTTTTCAAAGGTAGCAACTCTACTGAAGACACTGGGCTATCCTGGATATTCCAATAAAACACTGTGGGTTGGGGTTCAGTGGTGGAGAAAAACAATTCTTGCAAAAACAGCTTCCACAGGCATTTCCCCCAAGCCAGCACAGCTGTGAAGGGCTTTAAAGTATTATTTATATGATGCATATCATTATATAAAAAAACAGTTAAATACAAATTATGCACCTACTAACACAAAATCAAAATTTTAAAATATTTTATTTGTATGTGGGACTAACAGACTGAAGCAATGGGTGTCTCTCTTCCTGTTTGAGTGCCCAGGTTCAGAGACAAACTCAGCATAAAATTCAAATACAGTTTAACTTTCATATTAATACTTCCCTGGACTTAAAGAATTGTGTAGCTGACTCTCCAATTTATACTTCTCATTCATGTTAGATTCACTGCATTTGAAAAGGACATTGCCCTTTTTCCTTTCTTGTTTATTTTCTCCACTGTAAATAGGAAAATTTGTTTTTTGATGGTCTGACAATGCTTCTATCCACCTTAATTTTGCAGAATTATTTTAAAGTAAAATCTAATCTAACAAGCAACCGAACTACATAGAAGTATCCTTGCAATGGAAGGATAGATATTGAATCTCTCTTACTTGCTCTCCTTTTAGGCCTTCAATATGCACCTGCAAAAAAAATGCAGAGTCATAAAGGATGAGAAGAGGAAAGGCAACGCAGAAGGTACCAGAGGTATGATGGTTCCCCACTGTATTTTTCTCCCCTCGCCATTCCCTTGAAACGCACGCTATCTGCTACAGCTCCTCCAATCCTGTTGCAGGCGGAGGGATGCTTTCTATTTAAACCGCTCAGACTGACAGAAGGTTTGCTCACTCAGTTACCTATGAAGTGATTTGCCTGGCTGTATGAACAGTAAGAACTTAATTCATTATCTCACTGGTATAAACAAGTTAGAAAATTCCCCAGCTCTTGTCTTATTTTAAATTACAAAGATCTATTGAATGCAGAAGGCATCATAAAAATAGCAGGCTGACTTTGGATGTGGTGCATACTTAGCCTGTTCTCCACCTACCCCCTGGAACTTTAGGCTCATTTTCAGGTTTTATGCATATCTTTCTAAATTTCTTGGTAACTACTGTCACATCACTAATTTCACATTTAAGCAGGACAGTAAAAGGCTTTTACCCAAATAGAGTTTTTTCCAGAGCTCTCTCTTTCTCCTTCCTTTGCTTTCTACCACATTCTGGGTAAGGAAATTGCCTGCTGCCCTTCTTATGATTACCAGGGAGCTTCTCATTCTCGTCTTTAGCACCCAGTCCTTATTTGGCACAGTGCTACAGTTAATGTTGCTGGTATCAGTGGCCCTTTAATGCTTTCTACCGATAGTCCAAGAGTGCTGTTTCCTAATTTTAATCCTATTTTTTTTGAAAGTGAAAGGAGTACACCCCAACTGCTTTGTTACCAACCCCTGCAGAACTTAATTCTAGGCTGCTCCTCTGCATATTTTGTGGTAAATCGTCTTTCTCCCTTCACTTGGAGATGACCTCTTCATATAGACAATACTAACATCTGAACAGCCTTACTTCCCTCCTAGTGACGCCTCTGGCATCAGTGAAGGAATTGCTGAAGGCAGAGGGACTAACAAAGGCATGTAAATCTAGTGCCACTGGAAAGATCAATCCCCCCTCTCCTATTTTCTCAGTCTTCTTTTTTATCACTGCTTTCCTGATTTCAGCACATCAGGTCCTATTTGTCTCGTATTCCACCAGGACTTTTTCAGATATAAGTCAAGGAAAGATCATTCCCCCTTATCAGAAATTGCCACCTTCTTCTCCCATCCCAATTCTCACATCCAGCCCACGGCAAAGGCACTCAATAATTCAATTGAATTCTGAACTTTCCTTTGCTTTTATAACTTTCTTTATAACAAGCTCTATTTTCCAAAGGCCACTAGGTATCAATTCAACAACTGTCCTGGAAACTACACTTTCCTGTCACACTATTGCTCTCTCTCATGCACCTGAGGCAATGCTTTCATTGCCTCTCGGAGTCCTGATCTTCACATTTCAAAATCTCCTAAAATTGTGGTAGTGCATCTCCTGGTTGGAAACCATCACTTGCCTTCTTCAAAAATCTTCAGTGCCTTAAACTTCACTTTTTTTTGAAAAAACATTTAAGAACGTCTCTCACTTAGTAAAGTCCTCCCACCCCCAGCTTCGACCTTCTCTTCTTATGCAATAATGCCTACAATATTTGAGAAAGCTCAAAAAAGATCCTTACTGAAGAACCAGGCAATCCTGGAAGTCCTGGTTCACCCTGCAGGGAAACATGAAAGAAATGAAAAAACATAACACAAAACACAACATAGCACAATACATAACATAACACAGAACAAAAGCAAACCTCTGAGCATGTTTTCCGACTGCTGTTTACATTCTTATTTTCAATACCATCCCATAATAGCTATGAACATGCGATCCCAACTATCTCTGTTTTGTCTGCCCTGCAGATGAATACATACAGGAACTGGTTGTGTTCTGTGTTACTGTGATGTTATACCTTGATTTTAATGACATTTAGTGACTTAAAATGAATGATGCACTGGATGCACCATAACATTAAATTTCAGCCTCAAAAATCTTATAATTGGCGTACACATACCACACAAACAAACCTGATTGATGCTTAGATCCCTAACAGAGCCTGCAGGATGGATATTTAGGGGCCAAAATGCTTTTGTTTGTTAATGAGCAAAAAATGTTTGGAAAAAGAAAAGAAGTGAGAAACGGTACCATTTTCCCCAAGTCATTTTATATAGCAGAATCACACTATGAGTGTTTCAGGACACCGAGATGCTACATCCTCTTTACATGATTTATTGCTACCTAGGGTATCAATTTGTTCCAGCCCATTTTTCTCCAGCAGTGCCCACCATTTATTATCTTTCAAGACTAAGTGTCCAGAAGGTATATCCTTTAATTTAGGTACAGACTAATGCAAAAATTATCGTATAGCTTCCTTTCACACTCTGTTTATTAATTACTCATGTAGGTCTCCAAATGACCCAGCGTATCTTTCATGTTCTTTCCTCTTAACGTAAGTTTAATTACTATTTATGATTTATTCTAAAGAGAGTCCATACTACGCCAGAAGAACTAAAGAGACACAGGTCAACTGCACTGAAAGTAATGAAGCAAGGAGCTCAAGATCCAGAAGCACCAAATGCAGCCCCTTGAGAGATATGGATGAAGTTTTACAAACTCAAGACTGCTCTCTACTGCACACATGCTGGAGCACAAAGATCTTATCACTTATCAGCTCAGTGGATGTGCCTTGCTTGTAGGTGCTTCCGAAACCTCACCTATAGCAGTTGAATCTGAGTGGGAAAGTAACAGGAGATTTGCTTCTAATTTCTGGAGCAGAAAAGGAGAAATAAAATCCAGAATTGGGCATGCCTTTCCGTTTGTGTCAAAGAACTGGGCAGAAAATACCAAAACCACAATGTCACCTCCAGCAGAGGGGGAAACATAAGGCTGCCCTGGAAACTCTAACAACTCTGTAAAATAATGAGCTCAAAATTGCTGTTGAGAGCAACCCCAAGAGGGTTGGGCTTGCTTGATTGGCACTTTCTGAGTCAATTCTACATCTGCTGGGTCAGAAAACATCTACACAAACATCTACACAAACATATCGACATTTCTACCCAATTTTCTTAGGCGAGTAAGATTTCCTGAGCCAAACTTCTGTCTACTTCCTTCTCCTCCCACTGTGAGGGTTAAACTAAGAGCAGAGGAGCTATAACCAGACATGATTTGACACTCACTTATACCCATTTCAAACTGAAGCAACATCAGAAAAGTGAAACATTTAAATGCATAAAGGCGTTACTTATACACAAATGAAATAAATATTATCCTAACATCCCTGATATTTCCAGCACTGGGGGCCCAAGGAGGAATTAACAAATGTGTGTCCAAACCCCTCCTGTGCATCCCATCCCAACTCACCTTTTCTCCTTTGGTCCCACTGGCACCTGGAGGGCCCGGGCTGCCGGCAGGGCCCTATAAACAGGTGAAATGGAGAGAAAAATCTTTGGTTTACATACTGCAGGTCATCAATTGCCATTCCCTTGAAGCACGGGAGAAACATAAGGCTGCAGGTTTAGTTATCGGCAGCAGAGTTACATCCCATTGCACTGGGCTAGGAGCTAATACGAGGCTACTTTGGCTCTGCCATGTAGAGAGGAAGGGGAATAATGATGGAGATGCTACAGCAGCCACGATAACAGCAATCCAATTTCAGCTGTTTGAGAAGGATTGCAATTCAGGGAGTACATCGATGTCAAACACAAATTTTAGGATAAAATTCAGGCATGAAGATTTGCCCACTGCCAGGTGTCTAGACGTGAACAGGCAAAAAAGCTTCAGAAAAACCCAGCTTCTGTAATAGGGTGTCGCTTGGAGAAATTGTTCCTTAGAAGAAGTAAACAATCATCATCCACCTTCACATCCCTCTGTAATTTTTCACTTCATTTACATTTGCTGCAAGTCTAAACCAGTCCTGTGAACAGTGTAATGGGCATAGTGAAAATAGTTCATTGTGATTCCAGTGCCGCATCTAGCACTGGAAAACATTTCCATCTTATAATGATAGTCATAAACACTAACTGGACAAATACTTCTTGGTATAGAGTAAACCGTGGCTGAGGAATAGAGGAGAGAGAAAGCGATGATGCACTGTCAAATCCCCCATGGAGAAGCAGAGGAACATTTAGTGCAAAGATGTCTATCACCTCTTAGAGAGGAGGATGCAGATTTAACAAAGATTAAAACTGCTAATGACACTAGACCTCACCATCTAAATACAAAAGATGGGTCTGACATGGAAACAAAAAATAATTCCCCAAAAGATCAAGTTGAAACTCCAACTGCTAGAAGAGCGAGAGCAAGGCACTCAGGTAGCACATGGTTGCCGTGCTTGTAAGGCACGTTCAGAGCAGACGCCAGCAGCCGTTTTGTCTGTGTGAGCTGCAGAATCAACCACCTGAAGACAAAGTATCCTATGGATTCAACATGCAGCTCCTCCACCTCTGCAACTGCAAAATCGTGCCTCCAAATGATCCTTTCCAGAGAGGTAAACAGGAAGGACTAGTGAATAGGATGCAGACGCAGCAGCCTGGAGGCCTCAGGCTCAAGGATGGCAATGATTAGCTGCATGGCTTTTGGCAAATCACTGTTTAGCCTCTGCGTCTTTCTCTGTCCTTTGCTATTTAGACCAGAAGATCCTTGGGAGTAAAGGATATCTCTCATTAGGTATCATACCCTGAGTAAGGAAAACAGTCTTGTGGGATTTACAGATAGCAGTTTTAGACAAAGCATTATCTGTCTAATCAGCAGAAATGTACTGATTATTTAGATCATTTTCTGGTTTCATCTTGTCTTAAAAATGTAAATAGTTCCAAGGCTTTCTTATTGAAAACAAACCAAATACATTGAATCCAGTTCTCTCCCTTTCATGTTGTGGGAAAGAAAAAAAGTTTATAAAAACCAGTCTTAAACAACTGAATTTTTATATATGCTTCCTTATGTCTTCAATGAAAATTAAGAAAAACATCTAACCTATCATGTTTAAAGGACTGGCATTTCCTTTAAGCGTATATTACATTACCATTTAATTCTAAACCCAAACAAACAAAAGAAGAAAACTGTGCCAACAAAGATCCTGAGAATAAGGAGTACAAAAACTGCTGATGCGCTGGGGTCCTGCCATGACTCAGCAGCCACCCAGGATAAGTCTCAGTTTTAGAGTCCACTTCTACTCATTCCAAAGAAAACCTTCCAGTTGTTGAGTATTTGCCACGTACCTGTTTCCCCTCCACACCTGGCTTTCCAGGGAACCCATCTAGGCCTTGCTCTCCCTGGAAAAAGAAGAGAAAGAACCTCTATAACTCAAATCCATGGTGTTCAGATCACCGCTCTGCAAGAGATATCTGTGTTATCCACTCCAAGAGTAAGGAATAAGGAGAGAAATTCAAGCCAGCCCAATAGAAAAAATGGCTGAAGTCCTCACATCTGTATTACAAAGACTTGCTGGGACTAGAAGTGGTTGCATGCTAGCTTTCCACATCGGCCCCCTTCTTCTGCCTGCTGAGGTGGGTTCATGCAAAATGAACACAGTGCACCAGAACAACAGCCCGGAATAGCTCTTACAAAAATAATGAATCCACAATCCAGCAACAGCTCACTTTTACCTAGTTAAGAAAAACCTTTCATTTTTCACTTTTGCTTTCTGTAACCTGGGGGAACAATTAATCTACTCCTATATGTCTTCAGAATTGGACAGTCCACAACACCTACAGGCAATCTATTCCATTACTTTATTTTTAATACCTGAAGATATGGTTTTTTCCCCTGTACCTACTTATACCTGATTTTTTCTTGCTACAGTTTCAGAGCAGTATGTTTTTTCCCCACCCGAGAGAACAGACTATTCCCTTCATCTTTACAATTGCCTTTTACGTATTTGAAGACTTACAAAACTCCCCCTTCAAACTTTTCTAGACTAAACATCCTCAATACTTTCAACTTTTCTTCATGGGCATGTTTTTCAGACCTCTGGTCATTTTTGTTTCTCTCATTTGTGCACTTTCCAATGTTTCAATGTCTTCACTGTAGCTAGGTGCCCAAAACCAGACATAGCTGAAGCTAACTTTCAGCAGAAAGATTATTTCGTGCTTTATAGAGTATTCTTCTGTTTAAATCCCAGGATAATGTTTACTTTAGCCCAAACCCCCTTCTGCAGGACAGCTCCTTAGTCAGTTGTTCCCAATCTGTAGCAATTTGTTGTCCTACACATATGAAACATCCTGCAGCTGCCCCTCTCAATGTCATCTTCTGCTTTGGGGATTATGCTTTCAAGATCATTTTGAATTCTGATCCTGACCTCCACCGTACTTCTACATCCAGGCTTAACATATTCCATATTTTATAAGCCAGGTCCTTGATAGAGATGATGACTAGATCAATGACATAC